TATAAAAAGCCTCAAATATTAAAAATATCATTTTTTTAAGTACAATATATAAAATATAAGTCATAGATATATTTTTATTAATAACATATCTTTGTTTATATATATTTTGTTTCTTTACTAAAACTTTGACATTTGGTAGGTTATGCACAATATTCTTTTTTTTTTTATTAACGAGAATACTAGGGTTTCAAGGATTTGAATTAGATTCGGAGTTTCGTCATTATGAATTCGGGTTTCGTCTTTCCGGATTCTGTTTCGTCTTTCATCGTTATGCGAAAAGGTTTACACAACCATACAAGCGCTGCAGAGTGAAGTTTACATTGTAGAAAATTTATCCTCAAAAGAATTGTAATTTATTATGTTTACAACTGATGCTCTCATTGTTTTTATTAGGGTTATTAGGTGGCGAAATGTCGAAGCCCTATATTCAACTTTCGGTAAAAATTTTAAAAAGGCGAAATGGCGAAACTGGCAAAGTTGGCGATGTATTAGATACTATTACTAACTTTATACTATCTATGCAAATCTAGATAAGTCCTATAATTAGGGTTTAGGGCACAGGGGCATGAGCATGCCCCTAAGGGCATGCCTAAAGTCCAAAGGGCATGTCCTTGTCATGTGATATTTAAAGTTATTTTGATTGGCTAATGGGTTTAGATAAGGCAGAAAACATAAATATATACTAAACAATATATGAGATTTTTAGAAAGTTGCAAACTATATGTTAATTACATAATTTAAAAAAGAATATTTCCGTAGGTATAAGAAGCATGTCTCAACTCAAGGCATACTTGTGTGTGAGTGTTTTAATTTTTTTCCCTACATAATTATTGTTTTTACATTTATAATTAGTCTATTATCACATGAGTATAAAAGGCATGTCCTCAACTAGGGTTGGAGGCACGGAGGTTGGAGGCATGCCCCTGTCATGTGATCTACAGCTAACGTATGATTGGCTATTTCAGCGATTAACCAATTAGAATACAAATATATCTTATTATAGTACGTATATACTTTTATTATCCGTATTATTTCATTGACAGTCATTCACTGACAAGTTTATTTTACCGACAGTCTAGTTACTGAAGCTCATTTCACCAACAAGTTTTTTTTATGACCCTAATGATATTGACCAGAATTACTTTTGTCTGTAAAATGAGATAAACTATCGGTGAAATAAACTTGTTGGTAATTGTCAGTTGAGTTGATCGGATCCCTTTTATATCTAGAGGGGCATGCCCGGGGCATAGAGAGGCATGCCCTTCGCAAAGGCATGCCCCCTGAGGCATGCCTCAAAAATTTGCCGTGCCTCCAACCCTACCCTCAACCCAGGGCATGCCTAATTTTTAAAGCGTGCCCCAAACCCTACCTATAATCGTCCTAGTAGATTTAGGTTTCTAATAAACTAGTCTGAGCTCTACTTTTATGTGTAATCTTTACAATAGCTGGTTCACTAAATAGAAATATTCCATGTAGTGTTTTACTTAAATTATTCTATAAAAATATGGGCAAAGCCTCATCTTTAAAATCAATCAAAAAAAAATTATAATTCAGGCTTACTAAAATGCATTACGGTGTTGAACACTATAGTTGCTGTATTTCAAAACTACTAAGTAATTGGTGCTTGATGTGTTAAATAAAAATGTTCAAAACACAAAACCCTTATGCAAACTAAAATTTGGACCTTTATATTTAACTCCTATCTAAGCTTATAATTGTATTCTAGCACTAAATTTAGCAGAAGTTATCTATAGGGTTAAACACTATAGGTGGATTTTATAATCCTGTTGTAAATATATGATAATAATATAATAATATAATAGTAATACTTAGTAAAAATCAAAGTTCTGCAAAGATTCATACTGGACGTGGATTTGAACGTTGTAAAAGGCAGATTCGGTGTGACTAGTCTCACAACTATAACTCAACCAAAAAAATGAAGGTTACTCGAAAAAAGATGTGGAAGACTTAGTCCGAGAATAAAGGATCCTACCGTCATTAGGATACCCTGTCTTTATTTATTATTGTTCTTTCTAATGGGCTTTATAAATTATGAACTACAATGGGGGCTTTGATACTACGTTTAGAATATTCAAGTAATATGACTAATTAAATTATCGGGAACTCTATGGCTAACAAATACTCATTTACACAACTATCCAATCATTAATCTAATTTTAGATCATATCTAATCGTATATGGCATTTAAAAAAGTAGGCATCAACAAAAATTTTATTATGTAAAACGATATTTCAAATATCTTACATAGAAATACTTACTTTATATGATAGTATAGTTAACTTATTTTTGCAAAAAATGCCATAATCACCTTTTAACTGACTGCGTCCTATTTATATATACTGTTTGGCAAACATATATCTTACTAGGCTTATACAATTTTTCTATTACATATTCTAGCTTCAATATAATCAACACTATAGCTTAATTTATATACTTACAATTAGAGTATATCTTAAACTAATACAGTTATTTGGCTCTTTATAGCAATTAGAGTTCTACAATTTGATTTGATTCAATTTGATTAAATATTTAACTTCAAATAAAATTTAAATTTGATCAAATTTAAATTGATAATTATTTATTTGAATTTGATTATCAAATATTTGATTTGTTTCAAATTATAATAAAGATACTATATACTGTATATTCCCAAAAATAAGCTACCATTTTTTAGACAATTTTGAGTTCAAAAAATTAAAAATAGCATATTTCAGGGTTTACAGTTTTTTAAGAAAATTTATATCAAAAACAGGCAGTAAGGTTTATTTGAAAAAATTCTCATACGAACATACCTAATTAATTAGCTAACCATGTACATTAGAACTCAAACAGGTTTTAAAACTAGATACATTCATTTAGTTTTCTTACATCTACTAAATTTGTATACAGTATAGAATTTTCAAGAGAATACATTTTCGGTAGCAGATTATATGTAATTTATAAGTATAACAGTAATATTGTGACGCATCATTTTTTAATTATATTAATTATCAATAGCATATATGTAGAATGATTAATGTATATACGTACATATATACTAGAGCTACGCAAGTACTGTACTAGTATATATACTATTAAAATTCATAAAGACATACAACACTTACAATACTTTAAAGCTTGATATATTAGAAAATAAATAGTTTATTTTGAATCATTGTTATTGACTAAGTTAATGCGAATAAAAAAATAACGATAAATAAATCAATAAATAAATATTATTAATCGTAAATATCAAGGAAATGATACTATCAATAATCATTGGCAAAAATAATAATGAATATTGATAAGAACTAGGTTTGATGACACTTATACATTCTAGATAACGATATTTGAATATCCGATCATCAAAGTAGACGATTTAAGCTATTTAAACTTTAATAGTATCGATATTAGACAACGGGTTAATAGCCACTTCATGATTCGATAATGATCTTGTAAACAGGTGAATGACCCAGAACCTAAATTTTATGCTAAGTCCAATCTCAATCATCTGCGATCAACAAACCAGACACACTTCAGAAATTAAACAAACTCGAACCCACACTCAATTCAAGCTCTCATTCTTTGAAGTTAGAATTAGCATTTCAAAGCGTATAAATTAATTATCGTAAACCTGACACAATGTTCAGAATCAATTCTAAGAGCCACTAATTACCAACAGGACCCCTGACATCTCTCTTATAGGTCATAACTGGATTTTGGTCGATTTTAGCCTAACTTTTTGAAAACTAAAAATTTATTTTTTCTTAAATATCTCGGGATCTAGTGATCAGACACAGGTCGAAATAAGGCAAAATCGGGTTCAAATCGGCATCACAAGATCCTGATATGAAACAGACATTTGGCGCGAATAAGATACCTATATGATACAATTCGGATTCATATCAGCTCACAAGTATACATGGATGTCTAAATTATTTTTGAAAAATCGTATTTTCGGCAAACATTTCAGCATTGCTAAATTTTTTATATGAACCCTTCGAAATAACTATATTATATGATGCATTTTGATGAAAAGAATTCAAAAAATTTCGGCAATAATTTCGGCAAATATGAAAATTAATTTCGGCACTATATAAATTTAATTTCGGCAGCCTAAATGCCGTAATTACTTTTTTATTACAGCTGTTCTCATAAATTCTGGGACAACTGATAAAGTTTATTTCGGTCGAATTCGATAAGTTTTTGAACTCGGTGTTGTCGGAATTGGATTTTCGGCATTACAGTAATTCGATAACACCGAATCCAAAAACTTATCGAATTCGGCTGATCAATTTTTATCAGTTGTCCCAGAATTTATGAGAACAGCTGTAAGATGGGCAATTTAGACACCCATGTATACTCACAAGACATATCGGCAAAATGATAGCTCTATAGGTAAATCAATAGAGCTTATCTTATAGTTCTATCGATTTACCTATAGAGCTATCGTTTTGCCGATATGTCTTGTGAGCTGATATAAATCCGAATTGTATCCTATAGGTATCTTATTTGCGCCAGATGTCTATTTCAGATCGGGTTCATATCAGGATCTAGTGATGCCAATTTGAACCCGTTTTACCTTATTTCGACCTGTGAGAATTGAATGAACTTTTTTTTTGTTAGATGCGCCTCACTAAGAGCTTTCATTTAAAAAAAAAGACGGACCACTGGTTGCCGAGATAATTACAAAAAACTGTTTTTTTTTGTCCGGGGATTTTGCTGAATTTTCAATTATGACCTATATATCAGAGATGTCCGGGTCCTTCGAGTCATGTAAAATCGGGTCATCAAAGCGACCATAAAATGGATCGTACAAACTTAAGAAACATACTGGCTATGGTCTGTGTAATGATCTGGGAGAATTTCATAACACTCAATCGCATTATTCAATTAGTAATTCTCAATTTTTAGTATATTAAAGAATATAAAAAATATACAGTACATGAAGATGGTTAGGCAAGATTAATCAGGAGGAAAATTTTGAAAGAGTACTTTTAGCTTGAATGAGAATAGAGCTGAAACATTAACCGTACAAATTTCTTTCTATTTATGCAATACTCTCTCCTTCAAGTTAAAAAAAGTCGATGAATTAAATATGATTATACAAGACTCATTCGTAGATTACCGACACTTCAAAATTCCCAAGATCCTTATGAATAAAGTAAAGAATTAATTTTTATTTTGAATTGTAAAATGTTACCATCTGGCTTTGTCTATTAGAAAAAAATGTAACCGAATTTAAAAACTATGATGAATAAAAGTAATATAAGACGTAAAAAGTCATACATAAAAAGAAAGTAATGATAACTAAACTAATTTATTTAAATCTCAATAATTTATTTAAATCCCACTAATTATTTAAATCCCACTAATTTATTTAAATCCCACTAATTTATTAATCCCACTAATTTATTTAAATCCCAATAAATGAAAGTGAAAGCTATTAAATTCCCAACGAATAAAGTGTGATGAAGGGTAATAAAGTATAATGGGTAAAATGGAGAGTAATAAGGAGTAACAAAGGGTGGAAATTATTTAAATTCCAACGATTGTAATGTAGAATTTATTAAAGTTCTGTATTCTAAAAAGTCAGCCCCAGGAGATACATCAGATGGATTATCGTTAGTTTGTATGATAGCTGCAGGACTAACACTATACGATTTGAGAACACCTTCATCAATCTTTGAGATTAATTGAAGATCAAGTGGTAGATATAATTCAGCAAGTTGGCTTAAAAGTTTAAGAGCACCAGCGGCTGAAACGGCATAACCATGTGTACAATATGGTTTTTTAGATGGATATAATTTAAAGGTTTCTGATGTCTCAGCCAAAGGTTGATCAAACGCACCCTCCCAGCCCATACAATGCCCAATATATAAAAGATCCCAATCTGAGGGTAATACACTATGAATATAAGTCATTATTGACGTAATGTTGAGTTCAATATCTACATCATCTTCTAATATCAATGCACTATCATAACGATTATAGACAATTGATGAATAGAGCAAATAATGGCTTACGAAACATGCTTTATGCGATGAATTCATATAAGTTGAATTATTAAATCTATTGAGAATTCTGGAATCATCCTTGGAAATGGCAGTAAAAAATTCAACATCTAAATTAAGAGCATTTGTCATGGCTTTCATTTTCTCAAGCCTATCTTGTCTAGTTGCAAGATTAACGATATAAATATGATCAAAGCCAAGGGTGGAATTTAAAGATTTGGTAGTTTCATTTAAAGATAATTTTTTATGTTCGTTATGATTAATATCTATAAATGAACTTCGGGGAATGAACATGAGTAATGATATTATCAAAATAGTGATAAATAAAATTCTAAGGAACGCTCTTTGCCTAGTAGTTGGCATTTTTTCGGATTGGAATTTAATAGAAGAATGTTTTTGGTTGAATTTGTACATTGTAATCTTTTAATGCAGTTCTATTTGTGTATTGGCGTACTGAAACAGAGGGCTTAGTAATGCAGTACCAATACAGTACTTGCATTTTTTCGAGTTTTTATTTTCTTTTTTTGGAAACGTAGGTGAATCAGGTGATACGTATTTTACAAATGATTGCTACCGGAAAATCTATCGAAATGTATAGATAATGTGATTTTGAACTACGTATCTGTTCCTTTGGTATATCGTCATTTAATGCTGCTGTCGCACATTATTTAAAGTATTTATTCATATGCAGAATATTTAATATAACCGTACAACCGTTTATTCAATAAAATACTAATAGTTAAAAATTAACAATAAAAAATAATGCAGGGAAACTCACTAAGGGCTATGACAATGATAATTTAATGATATAAATATTTTAAGTGCAGGATAATTTAATATAAGCAATTTATTATAAATTATTTTTAACGTTAATGTATCGTAGATTCTTATCTTTATAAAGGAAAAATTACAATTTTTTGTATCTTTACATTATTAAAGGGGGGCAGAAGGACTTTTATTAATTAATCTATTATTCTCATAGCCCATACTCGCATAATTTTAACAAATTCCTCCTAAGAGGCAGATTTTTTCTACTTTCACTTCGACATTAACCCAAACTCAATTCCTTCCGTCTCTATATCAAGTGTGGAATTTTTATTCTACGAACTTTCTCAACTTTGCATCTATATCACAGCCACTAGAACATTATCGATCATCTAAGCCTCGTTTTGTGATCGAAGATCCCTACAGCATTGATTATTCTATTTTAAACGGCGTAGCACGTCCCGTGAAAATGTGATCAAAAATTTCAGCCGTTGCATACGTATTCTAGTCGTTTTGGTATGCGTACGTATGACATAATGCATACAGTACTGAAATACGAATTTAAAAAAATGATGATAATCATTATTTAGAAAGGTTAATTATTTTACTCCTGCTGAAATGGGACTTCTAAAAGAGTTTAGTACCATGAGTAAAAATAAAATTATTGAATTTAGGCCATGCAAAGTTAGTTAATTGGTTCTCGTAACCCGGCCGGGTCAAATTTTGAAATTTTTGTAAAAAAATTTTTTTATATGTTTTACAGCTGTTCTCATAAATTTTGGGACATCTGGTAAAAAAATTGACCGAATGATTATTTGGCCGATTCGATAAGTTTTTGATTCGGCAGTGATAAACTTTTGATTTACAGCTATTTTCATAATTTTTGGAACACCTGCTCATTATCCGAATTTTTTTTGGTCATTCGGTAAATTACCTAACTCTCCGGAAACTACATCGCTGTCTTACAGCTATTATCATAATTTCTGGGACATCTGCTTATTATCCGAAATCTTTTTGGTCGTTCGGTAAATTGCCTAACTCTCCGGAAACTACATCGCTATCTTCGGACCTTCAGTCCGGATGCATTGATGTAATTTCCGGAGAGTTAGGTAATTTACCGAACGACCAAAAAGATTTCGGGTAATGAGCAGGTGTCCCAGAAATTATGATAATAGCTGTAAGACCTTCAGTCCGGAGGCAGTGATGTAATTCCCGGAGAGTTAGGTAATTTGCCAAACGACCAAAAGATTTCGGGTAATGAACAGGTGTTCCAGAAATTATGAAAATAGCTGTAATGTGATTAATACTATAGCGATTGTATTCAGAACGATACTACAATGTCAACACATCTAAAATTAAGAATTCGTCTGAATGCATGTCCAGTATGTTTGGTGTGTTTATTCTGTACGAAAATTTATGCCAAAAATTGATCTTGCCAACTAATAGATCTTAACAAAAAACATAAAAAAAAGGTTAAGAATATAAGATAATCTTTCATAATAAATATATGACACGAAGAGGCGATAATAGAAAAAAGTTCAATATGAACAAGAATTTATTGACTGAACTAAAGAAAATATAACTCAAATAATAATTCCAAACAACCAAGTTTTTACTAATATTTGTCGAAACTGCATTAAAAATTATAATCTACAAAATTACAGAAAAATCTATAAAAGTATTTTATTTAATCATTTATGTAATACGTATACATTATTGGGCAAAAATTTGTGAATAACGGCAATTTGGCTCAACCGGGCAAATGATTGGCTGACAAGTGCCG